TTCGAAAACAAATTCAAAAAAGTATGGGGTCGATGTGTATTACAAAATGTGAGAAATCTTCAGTTCTAGGCTGTAGCTAGGATCTTGGGACATTACAGAACACAGAAATATTTTTTTGACAATATAGCCAACCAGACCAACTTAACTGTGTGGTTGTTGCCTGACCCAATTCTCTTTGTTCTGCCATTTTTCTCTCCACACACAATGTATTATTTCTCCTCTTCAACTAACTCACAGAGCCTCTCTCTGGGTATGTGGCGACTCAGCTCAGCTGACTGGGGGTCATACACCACCACCTCATACTGTGACAACAGAGGACAACACACTAACACCCTTCTTTGCTTTGTGTTAGATAGAGTGGATCCCTCCGAATAACAGACACGGTGGGACCAGGTATTTTGTCAATTAAAGGGAGGTTGTCCTCAGTTTGGAGGTTCAAAAAGCTAAAAAGTGAACATTCCGCACCTCAAAAGGTATCCTTTATTGAGAGGTTTTGTTTTATAACCTTTATATGGGGTGTTCACTATAGGAGATTCTACTGTTTAGCTCCATATAATCAGCTCCATATAATCAGCTCAGGTGGTAGAGCACTCTGCCTGGACTGTAGAGTGTTGCGGGTTTGAGTCTAACCAAGGGCTGCAGCTCATAACTCTTATTGTCCTGGGTGTTGTCAGTTTGTTTTCTTAGCATTTGGCCTCACCAATGATTCTTTACATAGTACGTACAGTACATGTATATATAATACCTTGTTGCCATAGTGCCTAAGGAAGAGTCTTCTCCCTCGTCGAGCTTCATACTGTGTGTGTTTGAAAAATAAATTTATAGAGTACAAACTGCAGTTGATATTAAAATTTAGTCCTGGGCAGTTTATATGGGAAATGGTGCTGGGGCACCTACCATATTATCATAAGTCAGTACACTATTCTCACACACAGGAGTGTAGAGACAGTAAAGTCACCTGGACTGCAACCTCTCTGCCGTCAACATCAGCCAACATCATAGGCTCTCCCAGCCTCCAATCAGTGCTGATCGTCAGGGGCTCCTCCTTTCCCTCCAGACTCACCTCCAGCCCATCCTCACTCCACCCACACCTCACAGGGACACTCTCCTCCTCACACTTTACCACCAGCTCCCAGTCCTGGGGCTCCAGGTCCACCGTCTCTGACTGTCTGGAGGGAGGGGAGGGGGTTAAGTTCTCGCAGCTAGCAGGAACGACAGCTCAAGTGTCTTGTCAATCTCACAACAGAATCATGGCCCGTGGCCAAAGTACACACACATCATGACACAATGCACCATACACAATACAGGGTGATATGTATGTGGCAGTGCCCAGTATTCAATAAACCAACATAAGTCAATACACAATAGAGTGAATGGAGGAAGAAGGGAGAGAGAAGCAAGTAACAGTAGGTGGCGAGAGGAGAGGGAGAAGCGAAGGGAGGGTGGTTTGCGACAGATGGCCAACTCACTGCCTCGGCCAACACAATCAGAGCAATCAGATTAGTTGTAAGTAGAGGAGACTCGGTAGGTTACATGTGTCTAAAATCTGGTAATAACAACTATTACCTCTCTTGGTTGAGGAATTGTTTGGCTGTGTCTTCACGAGATATGTGCATGTAGCAAGCAGCAGCCACCAGTTCATCTTTCTCCCCCTCACTCAGAACCCGACCTACAACACATCGACATGTATCCTCTTATTCATCCATGTGACAACAACAAGGTGAGTTAGAAAGGCAAGCCTAAGCAAACAAGTCAACTACACTCTGGAAAGCTGCCAAGGAAAAGAAGAAGAGCTGCCCTGGGTGGGACTCAAACCGAGGAAAACTTTCCCCCAAGGAAATGAAGGCCGCCCTGTGTAGGTGGGATTCGGGACCCACGATACTCTGCTGTCTAGGCGAGCGCTCCACCAACTGAGCTACCAGGGCAACTCAGCTGGTAGGGGTTCAAATCTACAACACAATACAACACATGACAGAGGCAAACCTTAACACCACTGTGCTATGGTACAGTGTACTCTCACTCAGTATGTATGTGTGTCTGTTTGTCTGTCTGTCTATGGCACAGACTCTCACTCAGCATGTACCGGTAAACAGGGGTTGAAACTCTGGTTTGTATATACCAAAAAAATGGGGTTTTGCGCACAACATTATAATTTTTTATGCTTGTAAAAGGTGCAGACTATGGGGTTGCAACATTCTAAACCCCCACATTCAACCCTTGCAGATGTCACCATTACGTCATCATACCCCAACCAACAGAAACACACACAAGGGCTACCAGCTGACCTTTGAACCCATCGGGGTAGACTTCAGGTATGAAATTAGTGGTGATGTCACCGGACACGAAGCGAGGCTGTGTGATGATGTCTCTCAACACTGGGATATTGTGATTCACACCTGTACAGTGTAAGTACATACAAATACAGCAACACATAATAAAGCATCCTCACACAAACAGTTCACAGTGAATCGGTGAAATGTAGGAGCTCGTCTAATGTTATTGGACGTTCGTGCAAACTTCAATTGACATGAACTTCTGCGTGATTGAGATGCAGGACCAGCAAAGGAACTCAGTAAGCAATATGTGTGTGTGTAATAATGCATAATGTGCAGCACGGCAGTAACTGAACCTTGGATGCAGTAGTGGTCCAAAGCCTTGGCCATCGTGGCCAGTGCCTCGTCCCTTGTCTCGCCATGAGTCACCAGCTGAAGAATATCAGGTCACACAGTACGTATAGAACCATGTATTGTGTGCTAGCAAAATTCACGTTCAGTGTGCTAAAACCACAATGATAAAGGTAAAAGGATGGCAACAAATATATTGTATAATAGTCATAAAAAATTAATGCCCCGCTTATGCAGTATTTAATGCTGACAAACAGTAGTTGTATTTCGGGAGAAATGAGCAAACCTTGGAGATCATGGGGTCATAGAACATACTGATGGTGCTGCCTTCCACAATCCCAGTGTCCACTCTTACCTATAGGAATGGTTTACACAAACAATTGTCTGAGCATATTGCATACTAAAAGTTACATAAAACATACAAATGGACCACTATGGGTTCACACTCTATTTTCTCTAATACACCATGCTCCTGTCATCATATTGCATAATTTCAAAGCGTGCACTACCACACAGCCCACCAATAGACCATTTCCACATGGAGTTGTGTGCACAACAAGATGAATGTATATAAGTCGTAGCACCCACATACGTATGGTTCTCAATTTAAAACCGTATTGTACAGAGTTTCCCAAGCTATAGTACAAGTATGGTTCTCAATTTTGCTGCAAATACAGAGCTACGAAAAACTGTATTGTACGGCTACATATGTTTCCCAAGCTATAGTACAACAGGATGCTAACATTCTCCAGTCCGGGGGCATTCAGAGGTTCCTTGTAGGTTGAGAGGTAGCCGATGGAGGGCAGGAACCTGACTGGGTCCTCTGCATACACCCGGCACTCCACTGCCCAGCCATTGATACCAATATCCTCCTGCTTCAGACTCAGCGGACAACCTGAATAGCATCATTGTACATATAACTAAGACACCGGGACAACATACAAAACATGGCTAGCATGCAGTAGGAGACTTGGACACAAAAACCTGGACAAAGTATTATACACCACATGGTATAACATATGCAGTAGTAAAAAGGGGAACTAACAGAAAATGGTTACTTATCCTTCTACAAGTCGGGGCTAATAGTGTAGTGTTTTATACTTTAAAGCTGTTACTTGTACTTGTAGACCGTGGTAGTGGGTCGCTGGTCTGCGCAATACATTAGCTATATGCAATGATGCGTATTGTAGGTTGGCCGAAAAGTTCATGCAATATGCAAAATGATGTATAAATACTACTTCACATCAGCATGTCGCAACAATGGTAGCAAGATAGAAAGGCAATGCAAGGCAACCAAGTCAACTACACCCAGGACAGCTCCTTCTTTTTAAAGAAAGCTGTCTTGGATGGGATTCGAACACACGACACTCTGCAGTCTAATAGAGCGACTCACCGCTGGCAACGTTGATCATCTCCCTGACGATGTCGACTCCTGTAATTAGCTCGGTGATTGGGTGCTCCACTTGCAGTCTGGTGTTCATCTCCAGGAAATAGAAATTCCTCTGAGAGTCAACCAGAAACTCACACGTCCCTACATACACACAGAGGAGGAAATGAGTATGTCTTAGCTAAACATGATATTTAGTGGAAGGACAATACGAAATCATAAGAAAAAGTAAAGAAAGATAAATAAAGACGGGATGACAAAAAAACACAAGCCTCTCTAGAATAAAAAAGACTCTACCAAACTGTTCATGCATTGCACGTTGTCATGTCATGCTTGTTTCATGCAATGATGGTAGTAAAATTATAGACAAGGTATTACCTTCATACACAGTACTCTAACCTTATACTATGCAGTGCTTATGTAAACTTGTTGTAGACTTGTGTCTACCATAAATTATTATTGTTATATAGGAGTATTATCTAAGCATAGAGCCAGGCAACTAGACTCATTTCCTCATTGGAGGGGGAGGGAGAAGGTGGGGGGAGAAGGGAGGGGGGGAGGAAACACTATAACTAAGTAGAAACATTTTTCCACTTGTTATGCTTACCTCGGAGCGCAAAATTTTCTGCAATGAAAACCTTTGAGTATCTCATGTGTTATAGTCAGTAACTTCAGAAGAAAGAAGAGCCATATAGAATGTAAAGCTGTTTGCACGTGTGTGTATGAAAGCCCCATGCTCTATATTATACACAAAGGAGAAAAGGGTTAAATAGGGGCAGACATCCTGCCCATCAAAGTATACACAGACCAATGCAAGTTTAACACGCAGTGGTGTAGACAGAAAATTGTTTTTCAACTCGACTAAGAAGCAATTACGGGGATAAGCTACAATCGTACTGAATGTTCACATGTTGGTATTTATAGCTACATCACAGCTGCACTTGTCCATAAGCAGTGTTGCGAGAGGTGGGAATGTTGTCCTTGTTTATAGGACCATATGCCTCATTGGAGGTCAGCTGAATGTCTTGTGAACTCTTGACCTCTCTTACCGCATCCACCTCCTCGTAGGTGACTGGTGGAGGGAGGGGAGGGGGAGAGGAGGAGGTGGGGCCAGACAACCTGCCCCTCACTCTCTGTATGAGGTACAGTCCCACCACTCCCAGTAGAACTCCAATAGTTAGAAACACAAGACTGCACACAACACCAACAACGACTATTACAGTTTGATGGTCTTCCGTTAATCCAGATTCAGTAGTACTATTGGTACATTGAGGTGTGGTGCTTTCCAACTCACTTTCGTTACTGATTATCAGCTCGAGAGCTGTCCATATGTTATCCTTACATCTTCTCTCCAGCATTCTAACTCCATTGACTAGATAGCCTCCTGAAGCTCTGTATGTGGCAGTAGATCCCAGGGACACTCCATCGTAAGTCACATTTCCACCAGGAAATGAATAGACACCCTGTCCATCAGCTGTGAACTCTGGCATTGCTGTCCAGTCAACACCAGGTGACGGCAAATCTTCTGGAGAACAAACTGAGAAGAGGTTTTGTTTAAAAATGGTCTAAACAAGACCATAGGAACAGCTTACCTGACGAAGTATTCTTCAAACTTATTCTCTGAGTGACACATCCCACCATATCCACAGCCACAGAAGAGGAAGAAGTGAGAGAGTCAGAGTAATGGATGTAGCCACACATGTTTCCACTACAGTCTTGTGATGTCACAATATGAATGACTTGTTCATCAATTACAACTCTGTAGGCAGTCTCTCTACCAAGAACCTGATGAAATAATTATTCTCATCATAATGGAACATGTGGTACTTGGGAAGCTTACAAAATATCGTCCCCACGTGACGTTAACAGCGTCTACATCCAGGGTCATTATATTGTAGATATAGTTGAAGGAAGACTCAACTCCACTACTACTGGCGGCTGTAGTACACATATAATCAACCTCTATTATGTACATACACAATATCAACCCCACCTGTGAGGTTCACACTGAACAGTAAAGTCGTACTCCAGACCAACACTTCCATCCACAGAGAGTGTAATCCGGGACTCAGTGGTAGAGAAAGTCTCCACTGGACTACCACTGATGACCTCACAGTCACCAGACCCAGACAGACATGGAGTGACAGTCACAGTGTATGGCACATCTTCACTGCAACTGACAACAGCCTCACTCCACTCCAAACTCAGTTGACACATGTCTCCAAATCCACTGACTGTGGCAGACTGAAACTCAGAGGACTCCAATACATCTGTAGACAACAATGACAATACCAGTTCAGTCAGTCAAACATCACACCATGCTTGTGTTGGTGGGTGACTATTCATAGCACAGCTGAAACACTCATCAACTATAATGATAGTGGAGTTTTAGGCAGCGGCGTTCTTTCTGCCTCCTACTGCCTCCTACGGTACGCACAGGCATATTGGAGCATGTAAAATGGCATGGCCACGTTCTGACGAAATTAGCAAACACCGCATTGCTTCCATCAAACCAGTCTTTTCTCGATCTGCCTGGCACCCATTAGCAAATGCAATAATTCATAGCCAGAGTGAGAAAGGGCTGTTGGATACACAAATTCACCCTTTACTGGATCCAATGGAAAACCATCAGTACATGTCACAGATGTTCCACTGAGATCACTAGTTATTGAGTCAACACTCAGAGAAGAGTTGCTAGGGTCTCCATTCACATCAGTCACAGATGATGTGAATATACCTCCTGGTCCACAGGTCTCTGTGTTAAGAGGATCATTCCGTTCGTAGATACAGCTGTCTTGATTTCCTCCAGAGTTGACTGCCAGTGGTGAATAGTGTACTACTCACAGTGAATGTGACCATCTCCAGGACATATCCCACTAGATGGTCCAGTGAACTGACTCACTGTCCCTGAAATTGTTCAAAGTGGCAGAGTAGCCAAAGAACTTGTACACATACTTTACCTAAGAACAGAGCACAGACCCAGAATCCAGACAACCAGAGTGAGATACTCATCCTTGAATGCATTTAACTCCTCACAAAGGGGTTAAAGAGTTAATTGACCACTTATGGTGGTCACCAGGAATGCATGTGTAGGCAATTAAGAGTGGGCAGCTATTTCAACAGTCATGGAAATTCCAGGCACATTGCTTTGAATAACTGTTCAATTCCGTGCTAAGTTCAATGGCAAGTTTCATGTGATGCCAAAAAGCACTGCAAATTCTTTTAAGTTTCCACAAACATGCAAAGGATAAACATTCTAAGAAAATAACAGACACTATATGACATGTATTCACACAGCTATCTAAATACACTATCACAGCTGCACTTGTCCATAAGCAGTGTTGCGAGAGGTGGGAATGTTGTCCTTGTGTATAGGACCATATGCCTCATTGGAGGTTAGCTGAATGTCTTGTGAACTCTTGACTTCTCTTGCCACACCCACCTCCTCATAGGTGACTGGTGGAGGGAGGGGAGGGGGAGAGGAGGAGGTGGGGCCAGACGACCTGCCCCTCACTCTCTGTATGAGGTACAGTCCCACCACTCCCAGTAGAACTCCAATAGTTAGAAACACAAGACTGCAAACAATGCTGGCAACCACTGTTGTAGTTTGACTGTCGTCTTTTTCTGGAGATTCTTCTGGTTTGCACTCTATGAGAAAATATAATGCATGCACTAACCATTTTACTTTGAGGTGTAATACAACCATTGATTATCTCCACACATTGAGGAGTGGTTCCATTCCAGAGGCCACTAGACAGACATTCTCTGGTAGTGTCTCCCTCTAGACTATAGCCATCATCACAGAAGTAGACTGCCACTGATCCTACACTGTCTCCACTGTAACACACCCCACCACCACTCACTGACCCACACACTCTGTTCTCCTCAACCAGAGAGGGACACAAGTCCCCCAATGAACAATCTGGTACACAAGGAAAGCACCAGTCATTGAGAGATGAGGTGAGACTGGGAGTTGTCTCACTCACAGACTGGTCTCTCCAGACACACTGTCTGTCTAGTCACACAGCCAGCAGTCTCCACAGACACTCCAAACTCCCCTCTACTGCCGGCTGCTGGGTAGTAGGTGTGGCTGCATTGAGTGGAGCTACAGTTGACAGCTCCCACTCTCTCCCTCACTCTAGACCCCACACCATCGTCTATCACCACTGTGTACTCTGGCCCTCCTGGATTGTTCCGCTGTTACAAACAAGAGGTTATAACAGATTGTTTGCTACCATACTTGTTACCGATATTGGTGTCCAATTGACTTCAATGGCTCTCAGTGACCCATCAACTGGATTATACATGTAGAGAGCACTGCAAGACGTCAAGTTTCCTCGTAAGAGGAACATAATTGAGAGTTTCACACACTCATCAATAATTTTCACCCGTCAGGTTAATTTTGTACACAGAGCTGGTGTCTCCAGTCAGTGATCCATCACATGTATCAGCTCTGACGGTGATGTCATAGTCCTGACTAGTCACAGTGAGACTATACTGGGTCTGAGTACCAGGTGTGGTGATGACTGAACTACCACCCATGACCATACAGTCTCCAGATGACTGGCAATCAGAGGTGGGTGGAGTCAGGGTCAACACATACTGAGACACAGTTCCAGCACAACTGACGATGGCCTCACTCCACTCCACACTCACCACACACTCTTCTCCTCCTCCCACATCTCTCTCCGAGATGGTGGCTGAGAGAACTTGCACACCTTTTGCATTTCCTGTGATTTTCAGTTGGACTAGATAGTAAATACAACCAATTATACTAAGATTATACCTAGAATGCATATGGTCTTAGAGCCAATGATGTCAGCAATATTATTGCATCACTACATTCCACCATTGTTCCATTGAGATCCTCAGTTATTGAGACAACACTCAGAGAAGAGTTGGCAGCAGTCTCACTGCCTTCAGTTCGAGATGATCTAAACCTCCCATTTGGTCCACAAGTGTCTGGGGCTCGACTTGCACTGAGATAGGTACACTCTCCATCAACTCCTCCAGGACTGACAGTCCAGAGTGTAACTCCACTGTCTACTACACAAGTGAATGTGACATCATCTCCAGGACATACCTCATCTGGTCCAGTGAACTGACTTAGTATTCCTAAATTGTGTTAGCTATAGTTATGCTCCCAATTTCCTATAACCTCAGACACTTTACCTGAGAAAGAAGCACAGACACAGAGTGTAGGCAGCCAATGTGTACTCATTTTGGATCACTCTTGTGTGAATAACCCTTTTCTCAGGGGTTAAACAGAACCATTCATGCATGAGAAACTGCTGACATATCTGTCATCCTGTGAATACTAAATTTACTACAATTAGGGAATAGATCATGGCACAGTAAATCATGTGTGGTTAAACAAAAATGTATCAGGTGCTAATACAATGTCAAGCACACTATGAAGCCTAGCCTAACGGCTAGTCAAAGCAATTTACAGTTTAGTCCCTTTCAGATGTCTTGGGCTGACTGTAGCTTAAGCTATCTCCACATACGTGAGAATGTGTTCTCTTCCCCAAAAAAATTTTACTGAGATACTTTGTCTTGTGAGTGTCAATACGTTTACACTATTACCAACAACCAGTGACGCACAAACCAATTATTAAGATCCTACAAAGTTCGGTAGAGGGTTGTTCGAAAATATTATTGTATATACTGAAATGTTAATCTGGGTCATTATTGAGTTTAGGCATTCTCTTCATTAACTCCTCTCATTAGGGTTAATGGCTGCATGCATAAATGTGTGTCGGACATACATTGAACTTCCCCAGTTTTGTCTTCTTGCGGTGTTAGAACTATCATAAACAATCACGGTAGCTACTATAGCAACAGTGTAACGGCAACCTACAGAGCTATCTAACAGGTTTCAGTTCCTCTGACCAAGATAAACAACTTCAAGAGCATCACAAGTGTACTTGTCCATAAGCAGTGTTGCGAGAGGTGGGAATGTTGTCCTTGTGTATAGGACCATATGCCTCATTGGAAGTCAGCTGAATGTCTTGTGAACTCTTGACCTCACTTGCCACACCCACCTCCTCATAGGTGACTGGTGGCTGTATGGAGGATAGTGGGTCAACTACCTCATACACAACCTGTTCCTGCTGTGTTTCTCTTCTCTGCATGTTGTGGATAGACACAT